CTTCTTTGGAGGACTCCCCTTGGGCTACTGCAGAAGGGCCTTTCTGTGAATTTCTTTCATCTCTGACTGACAGGTGGAGAATAGAATATGAAAGCCCAGCTATCATTGCTGTGGTTGAGAGAAATTCACAGTCCAGGGTTCCCCTGTGGGACTTGGGGGAGGGGAGGACAGCCCTGTGTGGTATTCTGGGTGAGACCCACCCTTCCTTGGCTTCCTCACTTTCCCTGCTTCCCTCAATCTGCCCTGGAACACTGCCTGGATAAATCTCCCAGTGGGACCCAAATGGGGAGGTTGTACTCACTCCTCACCGTAGTCTCACCACCTTTTATTATAGGGGCTGCAGTCATTTGAATTTGTAACCTGGTATATAATGTGGACAGTAAATTCTTACTAAGAAAATAATACCTGTTGTCTACTCATTTCTGTCTCATGGAAAATACTTGATTAGATTGGAAGAGGACATGCTTGTTTTGAAAATCACACTATTGATTCAACGTAAGTTTTTGGAGACTTTACTTTGTGGTGAGGATGCTTCTCTTTAGAAGGATGAATTTGCAGTAGTAATTTTAAATGCCTCTTCCATATTTATCACTTTAGGAATATAAAGGAAGCTGTCCATCTTATATTTACAGTTACTGATTTTTAGAAAGAACCTGAGGGAGAAATCATCCATTCATTTAGTATAACATCACCACCAAGTGGATTTATATGTTGCTGGATAAAATTTGCTCATGTTTTGTTAATGATTTTCACATATATGATATCTAATAAGGGATACTGGTCTGTGATTTTATTTTCCTGTAATACCTTTGTCAATTTTGAAATTGGGTTTATGCTGACTGCAAATATGAGTTGGGGATCATTCCCTTCTCCTTTTATTAAGCAGTTTATATAAGTTAGGTTTTATTTCTTTCTTAAATGTTTGATAGAATTCCCCATGATGCTATTTGGTCTTGTTTTTTTTTTTTGAAGGGGAGAAGGGTTGGTTATAAATAGATGCTGTAGTATTTAGATTTTTTGTTCTTGCTGGGACCGGTTTGGCTCAGTGGATAGAGCATCGGCCTGCGGACTGAAAGGTTCTGGGTTCGAATCCAGGCAAGGGCATGTACCTTGGTTGTGGGCACATCCCTGGTGGAGGGTGTGCAAGAGGCAGCTGATCGATGATTCTCTCTCATCGATGTTTCTAACTATCCCTCTCTCTTCCTCTCTGAAAAATCAATAAAATGTATTTAAAAAAAATAGATTTTTCATTCTTTTTTATTTTCAGTTTTGCTAAATTGTGTTTTTAAACAGTTTGTCCAACAACTAAGTTATTTGTTTAATACTGAGAAAATACTTCTGGATCTATATTCTACTGGAAATTTTTAAAGAATAACTTGTTTTAGCAACTATACATGGGTCTGATGTATATAAAGTTTGATTAATACTGGATATAAAATTACATATATTGTCTTTTTTTTTACATTCAATAAGTATTTTCCAACACCATTTAGAAATTTTCACCATTATTGTTTCAAGTTGTATAATATTCTATTTTGTTTATAATGTAATATATTTCAACATTTCCTATTGTGAATAGTGAGGCTTTCCTTAATTTTTTAAATTAAATCTTTATTGGAGAACCAAGATGGCGACATAGGTAAACACCTGTACTTTCTGCCTCCTACAACCACATCAGAATTACAACTAAAATGCAGAACAGCTATCATCCAGAACCGTGGGAAAGCTGGCTGAGTCGAAGTACTACAACTAGAGAGGTAAAGAAGAAAGTGCATTGAGACTGATAGGAGATGCAGAGGCACGAAACAGGCTGGCACCTGGTGCGCTGCTTTTTTAATCGGGATATATAAGCTCCAGCTTGCTCTGAGCTCCAATGTCAGGCGAGACTCAGAGGGGACCCAGACATATACGGGGAGAAACTGGACTGTCTGGTATCAGGGCCGGAACTCAGGGGTGGCTTTCTTCCAGATGGAGGTGCTCACAACAGTCATTGTTCCCCTGCTGGGACTTCCCCAGTGCAGGGCTGATTGGAAGCCATTGCTGTTTGCTTCATCCTGGAGATTCCTTGAGACCCTGCCCTGCCCAATTTACAACCCCACCCAAGCTGTGTGCAGTGGTTTTGGCGTATGAATGGCCTGTTCTTTTTCAGCCTAAAACCTGTCAAACAAGCTGCAGCTGGATCAAGGAGCCCCAAAGCTATCAAAAGAAGGCCCAAGGCCTCACTAGCACCATCCTGACTTGCTTCACAGCTGAGCCTCAACTGAGCACTTCCAAACCCGATACAAAGAGGAGAAGTCTGCAGATCTCTCTCTAGCTCCTGCTGGGTGGCCCTAGGCAGTGGCTGCCTTTGCACCTCCTTGGAAACCCAAGAGCCAGTGTACCCAGTGGTCAGTGTGAGACCATACCAGATTACAACTCTTCAAATCCATAAGTGACACACTCAAGGGGCATTCTCAGTGAGCACCAAAACCCCACTGAAGCAAGTCCTGTCCCATAAGGGTATCTCCTGCACAGCAGCTCTTTCATTATAGACACAGTAGTTCCTCACAGCCAATTGGCCTGGAGGTCAGTTTCCCCCAGTGACACAAACAACAATGAAGGCTCAGCTACAGTAAGACTATGCACACAGTCCACAAAGGGGTGCACTAAGAGTGTCCACCTCATGTGACTGGGGAGGCTGAGCCTCTGGGCCCTATGGGACATCTACCACACAAGTCCACTATATCAACCCAAGGAGACTTAGCAGCTACCCAATACATAGAATCAGGGAAGCAGCCAATAATGCGGAGACAAATGTCACAAATGAAAGAAATGGATGAAAGCAAACTACTGGATATAGAGTTCAAAACTACAGTTATAAGGTTATTCAAGAATCTTCTAGAAACCTCCGAGGAACTTAGTGAGGTCTTCGAGAATCTTAGTGAGAATGCCAAAAAAATATGGAAAAGAACCAGTCAGAAATTAAGCATACATTTACTGAAATAAAGAATAATATATAGGGGTTTAATAGACTAGAGGACCCCAAAGACCAAGTCAAAGATTTAAAATATAAGGAAGCAAAAATCACCCAACTGGAAAAGCAAAAAGAAAAAAAGAATTCAAAAGTATGAAGATAGTGTAAGGAGCCTCTGGGACAACTTGAAACGTATCAATATCTGAATTATGGGGATGCCAGAAGAAGAGAGAGAGGAAGATGCTGAAAACCTATTTGAAGAAATAATGACTGAAAACTTCCCCTACCTGGTGAAAGAAATGGACTTGTAAGTCCAGGGAGCACAGAGAATCCCAAACAAGAGGAACCCAAAGAGGACCACACATCATAATTAAAATGCCAAGGGCAAAAGACAAGAGAATCTTAAAAGCAGCAAGAGCCAGGACCAGTTTGGCTCAGTGGATAGAGCATCGGCCTGCGGACTGAAAGGTCCCGGGTTCGATTCCGGTTGAGGGCATGTACCTTGTTTGCGGGCACATCCCCAGTAGGGGGTGTGCAAGAGGCAGCTGATAGATGACACTCTCTCATCGGTGTTTCTGACTCTCTGTCCCTCTCTCTTCCTCTCTGTAAAAAATCAATAAAATATATTATTAAAAAAAAAGCAGCAAGAGAAAAACAGTTACCTCCAAGGAAGTACCCATTCTCTGTCAACAGAAACTATGCAGGCCAGAAGGGAGTGGCAAGAAATACTCGAAGTGATGAATAGCAAGAACCTGCAACCAAGACTACACAGCAAAGTTATTTAGAATTGAAGGTCAGATAAAGAGCTTCACAGACAAGAAAAAGCTAAAGGAATTCATCACCACCAAACCAGTGTTATATGAAATACTGAAGGGTATTCTCTAAAAGTAGAAGAAGAAAAAGGTAAAGATAAAAATTATGAACAACAAAGTGACAACAAATACATATCTATCAAGTGAATCTACAAATCAAATGAATAAAAAATCTAACGAACAGAATAAACGCAAATGTGATCAAATCAGGGGCATAGAAATGGAGTGGACTGACGTTTCTTGGGAGAAAAAGTGTGTGGGGGGGAGGGTTGCGGGAAGAGATTGGACAAACGTATGTATGCAGTACCTATGGAAGTGGACAGTTCCTCCCTGGCCCGGGCCCTGGTTGGGGCTCCTGCAGGAGACAAAATAACTGATGTGGTTCTCTTACATTGATATTTCTCTCTGTCTTTCCCTCTCTCTTCCAGTCTCTTTAAAAAGCAATGGAAAAATATGAGTGAAAGCAGACATCTCTGTCATATTCCTGTTCTTTCAGTATGGTTTTAGTTTTTTTTTCCATTAAGTATGATGTTCGCTGTAGGTTTGTCACATATGATCTTAATCATGTTGAGATATGATCCTACTGTTGCCACTTTGTGTAGGACCAGCCCGTTTTGTGTCTCCACCCCTTTTACCAGTCTTGATGTGACTTCTTTATATCCTTAGTTGTAGGACTTCTGTTCAACAATTATTCAGGTGGTTCTGAATAATTGTTCTATAGTATAGTTGTAATTTTGACATGGTTGTGGGATGATGTGATTACCGCAATACCCTCTCCCGCATCTTGACCGGGAACTCTCAACCTGTTATTAATTATATAAATTTGATTAAACCAATGATTTCAATCTCAACTCACATCCAGAAGAGTTGATGGTTTTAGAAAATTGGTTTTCCCTCCACTAGTAGAACCATGTGCATTTAACCTTACCATATTTGAGAAATAGATTTCTTAACAAAGTCCATAGTCTTCCATGTGCTTTGAAGCCATGTTGGGTGCTCAGTCAACTTATGTGGTTTGGTGATAATGGGTAGGGTGGGATGGAGTTGTTTTAAGATGTTCAAAACATTGCTTTCTCAATATAAAAATAACTGCTAGAAATATTCAAAAAAGGGCAGTGTTGGCTATTAAAACTGACAGTTAACCATTTGTTAATGGAATAATAAAATTTGCTCATTCTTTTAAGGAGATAGTGTACATCTTTTATGAAATTTTATTTTCATGTTTATTTTAATAGGATGAAAGTTAAAAAGCTGCCCATGATTCTAGCTCTACACCTGAAGAGATTTAAATACATGGATCAACTTCATCGATACACCAAACTTTCTTACCGGGTAGTTTTTCCTTTAGAACTTCGTCTCTTTAACACTTCAGGTGATGCAACCAATCCTGACAGAATGTATGACCTTGTTGCTGTTGTGGTTCACTGTGGAAGGTAATTGCAGTTGTGGGGCCTGGCAATGGGAGGATGGGTTGGTGAACAGTGAGCATTCAGGGTATTCTTGAGGGATTCCAGGGTAGACCTTTCAGAGATTCTCATACAGATAGATTTTATCATTTCCTCCTTAAAACTTTTATAAATGAAAATACTTATAAATATTCTACAGTATATTATCTGTATGCTTTGTTGTGTGCTCATCACCCAAAGTCGTGTCTCCATAAATTTGATTCCCTTTATAATATCATGTACAATATGTACCATATCTTCATTCCCCCCACCCTTTCCCCTCTCTGGATTTGAATTTTTTCTTATTGTTTAAATATTACTCTAAGAACATTAAGGCCTATTTTTCCCCATTTATTTATTTTTAAATGATGGTGCCTAAATAGATTTGCAAAATAAATTATTTCTTAGATTCATTGGATTTGTTCATTGCGTTAATGGTCATGAAAACCATTTAAAATGGCTTTGGAAATAATCTGCAAAGATAAGTTTTCTGCTTTTTTGCCTCAGTCTGTTTACTTCCCATTAGCCAATTTAGTGTGATTTCTCACTTTGTATCTTAACTTGTAAAGTAGATTAAAAAGAATTCTTAAACTATAAGAGCATCATGTAATTAGAATTTATACTTGAAACATACAGTCTTCATTGACTGTTGAGAATTTCCTGTAATAATTATAAAATAAGACACTTATCTTTTTGGGGAAAGTTATACTAATAGTATGTTTTATCCAAATAAGGAAGTCCCTGCCTCCCCAGGTTTAGCTGTCCCCTCCCCTCTCTCTGCTCAGAATATGTAATGACAACTGGAAGTCAACTGCCCTAACAGTCTTGAACTTCCATTGCCTTCATTAGCCTGTCTCTCTGTACTTTGCTATTATCTTTCCATTTTTGGAGCATTCCATTTCTTAACTAAGAGTGATGACATCTGAAAGCAATAAGATATAAAGAATCTGTAGTTATTTAGTCCAGAGGCTTTAGAGGCAAAGAAACCTTGGTTTCAGTTCTCCTTTTGCCATTTTTGGTCATTATGACTATAAAGAACTAACTGGATGTCCTTTTTCTCTTCTATAAAAGGTAAGTAATATCGACTGTCTTATTATATAATCAGGATCAAAAGGGAAATGTAAATCACTTAGCTGCTGCTACTGTTTTAACAACAACAATAATAACATTAGCTTTTCACACCATAACTGTACTATTTGATAGTGTTTTTATATTCAGTGACAGTTTTACCCCATTTAAATTCTGCTCCATCTTTTGGAATTGATCTTGAACTCTGAGCTTCCTTATCACAGCCCTGAGCTCCCTCCCCTCACTGTCATCTTTTAAAATTTAATCCACCCTTATTCCCTTACAGCTTCTTGTCTCTTGATCTTTCTTTTTAACCGTTTCCTTGGCCACCTCTGCTTCTCCTCCCAGCCTTACCACCAGTCAGTTATCCTATAATAAAAGTGTAATATGCCAGTTGTCCCCTCAACTGGGAATTCGTCTGGGAGTTCAACCAGGGGGCAGGGCCGGCCAGAGAAAGAGAGGAAGCACCCAGCCAGCAGCTGCTAGGGACCCTGCCAGTGCACAAATTTCATGCATTGGGCCTCTAGGAAAAACATTGTTGCAAACACTGTGACATTCTCCTTCTGCCTGTTCATGTCTCCAGCCCTAGCTGTCAGAATGCTGCAGAAAGTTGAGGGATGCTCATTGACTCCTCACAGCTGACTGTGGTGGTGTTCATTCCTGCTTAAGTTCTTCACAGAAGCTATTTCACATCCCAACCCACACTAGTCTCTTATTCTTCCTTTTCTTTCACTGTGGTCCCCTCCCTTAAACATCTGTTTTTCCTTAAGAGAATGGGCTCTATCTGTCTATGTAATCCTCACTAGAGGATATTTTTTTAAATTGATTTTAAAAATATATATATATATTATTGTTCTTTTACAGAGAGGAAAGGAGAGGGACAGAGAGTTAGAAACATCGATGAGAGAGAAACATTGATCAGCTACCTCTTGCACACCCCCAACTGGGGATGTGCCCGCAATCAAGGTACATGCCCTTGACTGGAATCGAACCTAGGACCCTTCAGTTCGCAGGCCGACGCTCTATCCACTGAGCAAATAGGTCAGGGCTGATTATTTTTTTTTTTTAAGAGTGAGTTGGTGGGGGCGGGGGGAGAGAAACATCGATATGAGAGATACACATCGATTGGTTGCCTCCCACACATGCCCCAGCCCAGCCCGGGATGGAGCTTGCATCTGAGAGGCACATGCCCTTGACCAGGAATTGAATGCACGACCCTACAGTCTGCGGGCCAACACTCTAACCACTGAGCAACTGGCTAAGGCAAGAATACACTTTTAAAAACGGGAAATAATTCATTCATTAAACAAAACACTAAACATATTTTAAGTTTTTTATTTTTATTTATGATACTTATCTGTAGATACATTTCATATCATTATAAAGGGTTTGCCTTTGCCCAAAGCCTTTGACTATTGGGGGATCTAATTTTCAGCATGTCCGTGCCAATCTAGTTTGCTCGCTCTCTATCCCCAATGCCTGGGTTTACAACAAATATTTGCTGATACTTAAAGCCCATTTCAAACCCAACTTCTCTGTGTAACTAACCTTTCTTGATTCCTCAGCTCTTTCCCTTTCTCTCTCACTGGATGAGGTCTTATTTCATTGTCCCATGGCTCTGCTTTTATATTCTGTTCTGTATACGCCTCTGGAGTAGTTTCCTAGTGAACTGGCAGTGTCTTTAGGGCAGGATGTTGTTGCTATCTCTAATCCCCACAGAAATAGCAGTCATTTGTACATACCAGGCATCTGTGCATATTGAACTGAACATGTTTCATGTTCTGAATGTAAATCACTGATTAACCACTTCCTTAGGTATCAATTTCTTACCCTCAGTCTTCATCTTATTAGTTTCTGTAATTAACTTTTGCCTAGCTAAAGAATAAAGGTGGCTAACCATTTCAGTCTGATACTTACCTGTGTTTAGCCCACCTACTCTTTCCCTCTCAGGTTCTGTTGCTCAACCTTTCTGTGATTTTTTTTTTTTTAATTTCACACCCTTGAAATGTTTTTACCCTCCATTTCTTACTTCTCACTCTAAAATGACTGCTTAGATGAATCCTATAGAAATGAAGAAATTAGACTTATTTCAGCATTAAAAGCATTTTTTAAAAACACCCTTTTTGAGGTATTTTTGCAGTAAAAAAGTCCTCTGGTTTGTGCCATTTTTTCACCTAAGATAATCATTTCATCTATAGGACTAAGAATCTAACAAGTGGGAAATGAAGTAGGTCACTTATTCTAATGTCTGAGCTTGCTACTTTTAAAAAACAGTATTCATCATAAAGAAAAATTTGCGTTGAAAATCATTTCAAACTCTATAATATCAATTATGGATTTATAATTTAATAAAAATTATACATTTTATAATGAGTTTTATTTCAACTGAGAGATTGAAATCTTCAGCATATCTTTTTTAAAGCGAATTTCTTTCAAAAAAAATAATCGCCTTTATTTTTACATATATCTAGACTTCTGTACTCTAGGTTTGTTTAAATTGAGACACAAAGGTAATTATCCTAATATACAGTATAAAAGCCAAAGGCCTTCATGACTGTAACAACCAGATGAATGACCAAACAGCATGCAGCATGAGGCAACAAGGCTGGCAGAGGGGTTAGTGAGGGACATCCAAATGACTGAACAGCAGGCTGTGTGGGGCTACCAGGCTGGCGGGGGCGGACGACGACGGGACGGGGGGGGGGGGGGACGGACGGACGGGACGGGGACGGGTGTAGTTGAGGGTGACCAGGCTGGTGGGGGGGAATAGTTATGGGTGACAAGGCAGACATAGGGAGAGTTGGGGGGGCAGCAGAAAGGGGCTACCAGGCCGGCAGCGGTGGGTGGGAGGGGTAGTTGGGGTGACCAGGTTAGCAGAGGAGGGCGGGGGAGGGGGTAGAGGAGGAGGCAGTAAGGGATGACCGGGGGGGGGGGGGGGGGGGGCAGTTAGGAGAAACCAGGCTGGTGGGGGGCTCGTTGGGGACAACCAGACCAGGAGGGGAAGCAGTTCGGGGAGATCAGGTTGGCAGGCAGAGGCGGTTAGGGGCGATCAGGCAGGCAGGCAGGTGAGTAGTTAGGAGCCAGCAGTCCCGGATTGTGAGAGGGATGCCTGACTCCTGGTTTAGGCCCATTCTCTGGGATTGGGCCTAAACCGGCAGTCAGACATCCCCTGAGGGGTCCCCGATTGGAGAGGGTGCAGGCTTGGCTGAGGCGGACCACCCCCCGCCCCATGCATGAATTTTGTGCTCTGGGCCTTTAGTAATAATTATAACTTAAAGATGCACTAATGATACTGATGATTGGGCAAATGTCATTTGTTTTTAAAGAAGTTTATGAAGTTTAAGCTTGATTTCAGAACCATGAATTATTTATATATATATATATATATATATATATATATATAATTATTATTATTATTATTATTTTGCCTTTTCAAGCATCATGAATAGGATCTTTTCTTTAGAGAAAAACTGTTGCCATGGGAGTAAGACTTAGAAATAATTCTACATGCATTGTTTTGTAGTTTAACTCAGCATGTATTGGATGTTACCCTCCCATATCCCCCCTACTAAAAATTTTTATTTAAATCTTTCATAGAAGCAAATTTGTAAAGTACTTTTAGAAATATTTACAACTCTTACAAAGACAATAAAGAATTTTAATAACATAGTTTTATATAAATAGAATATTAGTTGTACCTCTCAAAGTAGAGTACTAATAATTTTATTTTAAAATTGAATGCCAATTCAAATCAATATAGCTTGATTTGGTGGAGGGATAGATAGGTAAGGAGTATTTTTTTCTTCTTCCTATTTTAGGTTTTTTACTCTATAGCACATGTAATTCAAGGATAAAAGAGTAATAATAATAATAAACATTTTGTAAAGTTAATTTTTCTTTCTCTTTATTTCAGTGGTCCTAATAGAGGCCATTACATCGCAATAGTTAAGAGTCATGACTTTTGGTTGTTGTTTGATGACGATATTGTAGAAGTAAGTAATTTCTTAATTTTTTATTTTTCTTTAAGGTATATATGTTTTATTCTTTACTTTTTTCTCCCAGCTTCTCATTCATATATAGCAGACTGAGTATTAGACAAATATCTAGATCTTCAGATTGTAATCTAATTTCTACTTTGTACTCCCTAACATCCAGTCCCAATGCTTGAATTGTCAGCTAACCTTTATGGTGTTTAGAATATGAGAAGGGATATCTTTCAATGACAGAACTAGTTTTAAAAAGACTTTTATTTAAAGAAGAAATGTATCTTGCTGGCTGGTGTTGATCAGTGATTGAGCATCGGCCCATGAACAAGGAGGTCATGGTTTGATTCCTGGTTTGGGTATACGCCTAGGTTTCAGGGAGCAAGCTGTCAGTTGCTCATTGTCACCATTGATGTTTCTCTCTCCCTCTCTCTCTAAAATCAATAAAACCAGATTTTTTTTTTTTAAAAGAACTAAAGCTATAATATACCTATAGCAAAGTGCACAAATCTTAAGCAACAACTATTAGTGGTTTCATATAGTTTATGCCCATATCCACAAATAGAATTGATGGATTAAAGGGTAATTGAATGTTCAGCTTTAGATGATGCTAAACATTTTAACAGTGTATCTATAAATTTATATTCCCCCCAGCTGTGTATGAGAGTTGTAGTTGCTCCATATTTTCACCAACACTTGTTATTATGAGTCTTTTAAATTTAAGCTATTCTGGTTGTGCAGAGCTATTTTACAAATGAGAAAATGAAAGGTATGTTTCAAAGAAATGTTGAAGGTTTTGCTGGATTAAAGCAGTCCAAGGAGCTTGTTTAAGTATTAATGTTTACATTTTGCCTCCCAGAAAATAGATGCACAAGCTATTGAAGAATTCTACGGGTTGACATCAGATATCTCAAAGAACTCTGAGTCTGGTTACATCCTTTTCTATCAGTCTCGAGACTAAGGGGAACCATGATGAAGAGACTTCTGCCTCATTTCTTCTCTGGCTATTATGGAAAGGATCAAGCACTAATTTTTCAAGAAAAGAGAAATGCAGGAAGCTCAGGGGGCAGTGGCACACTTTGCACACAATAAAGCAAAGACTATGGATTAACAAGCTCTTCCTATTATGGTAGTTGATTTATTTGCTCAGGTATCATGCTGTCTGTGCAGTTCCATTCAACAAGGAAGTGACATCAGAGATAGCAGCTCCTCCTGTAAAGCAGCCTTCCGGTAACTGATACACACACGTTCTCTTTATCAATTGCTTCAGTAATGATTTTAACTCCTTCGAGGTGCAGTAGAAAGAATAGGAGTCTGTGCCAGGTTATATTGATAATTTAAGGAGATGATAGAGAACACAGTATATAAGTTTGCCTGTGTTGAATGAGTACAGAAAGGCTATTTGATGGTCTTTTCAATCATAAACCAGAAATACTTTTGGGCCCAACACTTGCAGTTGCCTTCCTGATATAAAAACTAACAGGTTTTAGAATCCAGTGTCAGGAAGACAAATATGTTTTGCTTCTCTAAAGAAGCTTTTAATAATATACAGTATATGTATATGTAGGGAACAATTGGTCAAAAGTGGCTTTTTGTTTCCCCAAGGGGAAAGACTGGCTTTGTAATTATAATGTTTTCCTTATTTATTTTACTTAAAACTGCTATAGTCTAAGTATTGTATAAAGTGCCCATGATTCTGTCAGTAAATTTGAGCATATTTTTAAGTTTTATTAGCTTTTGTCAGTTAACTAGTCATTTTGCTTGTTTCTATTTTTAAGGTGAATTTTAAACTATTTAAATCAGTAAGATACCATAAGAAAAATTGCAATGGGATGAGGTAAATATTTTTTTTCAGGAGGAACTGATATCTCTGGCTAAATATTTGTCTTTTGTTTTAGCTTATGTCAGTTATTTTATTCAGCTTTAATTTCATCAAAATAAGAAACTATAAAAAAAATTCCCTATAGTTGTTGGGATGATAAAAGACATTCTGGTGCAGTGGTGGTATACTAGTCTCTAGAATTCTTAAATACTCTAATGTTTCCAATGGAGGTCATGTCTGGAAGATTCATGTAATAGCAGTTATATTATTTTCCAGAGTCATTCTTTACCTTGGAAAGAAGGAATCATTCATCATAACCCCAGTAGCTAGTGGAAAAAACCTTTGAAAATTAACTTTTAATGAAGTAGACCAGGAATACACAAATATGTCCTTTTCTCCATCCGCCTTTACAAATCTTACTGGGAGAATGTTTGGAAATTAACTTGGTTAAGACTCCCTTCTGTTAGGAGTTTTAAGAAGTAATGTATGTAATTAAAATGTGTAATTTTTGCAACTGACACTTTTTCATGCATCAGTAAGTTCTCTGACAGTGACCAAATGTCACTTGTGGAAAGTATTTGAATACGTATATATTCAAAATAATAGCAATCAAGCCTTGGATATTATTTATCAGTCTTTTCAGGCAGTAATTTTTTTAATTGCTGTAATTTTCTAAACTTATTTTATTAATACTGTTGAATACGAAAAACAAAAAAGAATCCTTTTATCTGCTGCTATAATTAACACTTACTATCTGTATCTTTTAGCTCAGGAAATGACTTCACCTATTCATTCCATGAACATATCTTTAACAGGGTCACTTAGTTAATTGGGTTGTCTGACAGATGTGCTGATAGAAAATTATGAGGTATTTTGATAAATTACTTATTATAGTATAGGTTCTGAAGCCTTATCTTGGCTGGAATTGTTCTGTACAAATAACATAGCCTGGCTGGTTTACCAGCATTGCACAGAGAATTACAACCGAAAATGTGGGGCAGGCCATAGCAGTGGAACTGGATACATTTTTTATTTTGAGGCTTAAACCAAATTGTCTTGGATTTTAAAGTAGTGTTTCTGTGGTTTTCTGCACAGAGAAGGTGAGTAAGGAGAAGCTGAGTCAGTTTTATGTGAGTCAGGCCATGGCATGTGTAAGAAAGATAGATGAAGTCATTTGCATAAAGGTACAGAGTTGAAATATTTTGTTTGTTTTCACATTGTGCATTTTAAAAAACAGTATAGGCTAAAGTTCAATTTTATATTAAAGCAAATGATAGCTTTCTTGTTGAGTTCCATGGTAGTCATACACTGTTCACATCTATACTACATTTAATAGTACTGGTATGATTCGTCAGGGGAGGGACTGTGGGGTGATGGTTCTCAATTTACTTTTTACTCTTAGTGCAGCTGCATCTAAGTAGAATGTTTGCAAGCTTATCAGAAACTCAACATACTTTAAAAACATATAGGGTTAGGGTTGTGGGGGAAATGCAGACATAGTAAGAAAAGTGACCTATATAGACAGCATTGTGAGGTTGTCTATGGGTTGACTGTGGTTGAAATGAAGGGCAGGCTTCAGATGTAAATGGTGGCTGATTGCTGTCGATGTACATGATTGATGGGAATGGCTGTTCCATATTTTGTATATTGGAATAAAATTTATATAAATTATCATAACTAAAAGTAAATATTCTAAATTAAGTCTCGCTTCGAAGTCATATGGCTTCTGTCTTGGCAACTTTACCTTTAGAAGATTATTTAAGACAGGAGCCATGCGACTTCCAGAAGGAAAAGGAAATGTGTAATATATGGATCTTGTTGTCTCTAACCATCATATAGGTTTTTTCTTTCCTTGATGGCAGTAGAAAAATCTCATTTTCATAACATACTACTCCTGATTCTTTCTTTAAAGATACTTTTCATTAAAGATTCTCTCATGAGGTATTTAACTGGGAGCTAGGAGGCTAAGGTGCTCAGGTCCTGGCTCTTCAGTGAATTTAACTGTGTGACCTTGGGCAAGTCACTTAACCTCTCTGTGCTTCAGTCTCCCTCTCTTGTAAAATGGGAGTAATACCTACCTCACAGGGTTGTTGTGGGGACTAATTAGATAAAATGTCTGTTAAGCATCTAAGGTTCTTGAAGAAGGCACTATATAAATACAAAATAATATCTATTAAAGTTGTTTTATTTGTGCTTGTGGGTTTTAAGTGTGTTTTCCCCCCCCTTTTTTGCCTAAAGTGTATGTGCAAATTAGAAATACACACTTTGGAAATTGTCTTATTGCTTTTGCTCAAAAGAGAATTTCATTCCATATTGCATTTTTATTTATGGAGTAGCATTGTCTTTCCAAAAAGCCCAAGTTTAAAAATTTAAATTTAGAATCATAGAATCTTAGAGCAAAGTACCTTCAAAGTCACTGTTCCTAGCATTCCGCTTCCCATCCAGTGTAGTAATTCCTCCTGTAAAATCAGTGCTTTAGTACTTGAAGCCTGTCCCATTGTTGAGTAACTTGAATAGTTGTTAATGTCTCCATTATATGTAATCCATCCTTCATTATTCTTGGAAACCCTCCTCCAGAAGCACTTTTATTTATCCATGTCTGAAAAAGTGTTCTTAGAATAAGCACAATAATAGGTGTACTAGACTGACACTGGGGACCTAAGATTGCATTTTCTTTTCTCAGCATTTATATCACACCCTTCAACTGTGAGTAAATGTAGTTCTCTATATTCAAGTTTTCATGAACTATTGAAAAGCCAAGGCTGCCCCTCCCTTTTTTAAAGTTCTCTTGTTACCTGGTACCTGTGCATGTATTTTAAAGCTTTTCCACTTCTTTTCACTTTTTTTTTTTTTTGGTGATAATCTACTACCTTTTAAAAAAATCTCCAGAGCTGTTAAAGTAACAAACCATCCATCATTGTTAAGATGATAGGGTGATAGGCCCTGTGCTCGACATTTTACTTGTTTTAATGTTAATCTTGACATCAACCTCTATGAGGTAGTGATATCCTCATTTTACAAAAGGATAAAGTTCTTCAGAGGTTAAGTATTTTTCTTAAAGTCACTCAGCTGGAAAGTAGCAGATCTAGGTTTCAGATAAGTACCGTATGACCTCACTGCCAAGTTCTTAACCATGGCTGGCATTATTTATTGTGGGAAATACACATAACATGAAATTTACCATTCTAACGATTTTAAATGTATCACTAAGTGACACTAAGCACATTCACAATATACAACCATCACCACTATTTCCAGAATTTTTCATCTTTCTAAACATAAACTGTACCCATTAAACATTAATGCCCCCCTCTCCCCATCTTCTAGTTAAACCCTTTTCTACTTTCTATCTTTATGAATTTAACTGCTCTAGGTGCCTCATCTAAATAGAATCATACAATATTTGTTCTTTTGTGTTCCACTTATTTCACTTATCATATTTTCAATGCATATTCATGTCAGAAATTTCTTTTTAAGACAATAATATCCCATTGTACGTACACTTGTTTATCTATTCATCTCTTCATGGTCATTTGGGTTACGAACATTGTTGTACAAGTATCTGAGTCCCCAATTTCAGTTCTTTTGGGTATATTCTAGAATTGCTGGATGATATGTAAACCTCTTTAATTTTTTTCAGTAACTGCCATACTGTTTTTTACAAAAGCTGCACCATTTTACATTCCCATCAATAATGCAGCAGGGTTCCAGTTCCTGCATACCCCTGCCAACATTCCAACTTTTATTGTTTTCTGCTTTTGCTGTTTTTTTGTTTTGTTTTGTTTTGATGATGGGAGGTGGGGGTTGGTTTGGTAGTGACCATCCCAAATGGTGTGAGGCCATGTCTCATGATTTTAATATGCATTTCCTTGATTAATGATGTCAAGCTTATTGGCCATTTGTATGTCTTCTTTGGAAAAATGTCTTAATTTTTTTGTCCATTTTGTCCATTTCTTTAAATTGAGCTGTTTATTTGCTGTTGAGAGGTAGGTGTTTTTTGTATCCTTAATATTAATCCCGTTTCACCCCTAGCTGGTTTGGCTTGGTGGATAGAGCATTGACCTGTGGACTAAAGGGTCCTTGGTTCAATTCCAGTCAAGTGCAAGCTCGATCCCCAATAGGGAGCATGCAGGAGGCAGCTGATTAATGATTCTCTCTCATCATTTATCTCTCTCCCTCTTTCTTTATATTTATAGAATAAAATAAAAATTTAAAAATATTAATCCTGTTTCAGATACATCACCACTTGTAAACCTGTTCTTACCACGTTGAGTATTCTTGGCATTGTAAAAAATCAGTGGGCCATATATATGAGGGTTTATTTTTGGGCTCTATTGTAATCCACTGGTCAAGATGTCTATCCTTATGCCAACATCACACTGTGGTTTTGTGTTTGTGTGTGTGTGTGTGTGTGTGTGTGTGTGTGTTTTAATCCTCACCTGAGGATCTGCTTAGAGCAAGGGGAGTGTGTGTGTCGGGGGGCGAGGGGGCAGGACATCAATATGAGAGAGAAACTTTGAATAGTTGCCTTCTGCAGGGCATTGAACCTGCAACCTTTCAATGCAGAGGATTATACTAAACCAACTGAGCCACTACTCTGGCGGGCCCACACTATTTTTATTACTGTGCCTTTGTAGTAAGTTTTGAAATCAGGAAGTGTGAGGTCTCTAGCTTTGCTGTTCTATTTCAAGATTATTTTGGCTATTCCCAGTCCTTTGAGATTTTATATAAATTTTAGGATAGGTTTTTTAGTTTATGCAAAAATTGCTATTGGAATTTTGATAGGGATTGTGTAGAATCTGTAGGTCACTTTGGGTAGTATTGTTATTTTAACAATATTAATTCTTCTAATCCATAAACACGGGATATCTTCATTTATTTCTGTCATGTTTAAATTTTTTCAGCAGCATTAGTTTTTTGTATATAAGTGTTTCACCATCTTGGTTGAGTTTATTTCAAAGTTTTTATTCTTTGTGATGTAGTAGGATTGTTTTTCAATTTTCTTTTGGATAATTTGTTGTTAGTGTATAGAGATGTAACTGATTTTTGTGCATTTTATATTCTACAACTTCGGTGAATTTTTTTTTTTTTTATTCTAACAGTTTTTGGTGGACTCTAGGGTTTTCTACATACAAAGTCATGCCATTTGCAAATAGATAATTTTACTTTATCTTTTCCAAATTTGGATGACTTTTTATTATTTTTTTTGCCGTGGCTAGAACTTTTTTTATTTATTTAATAAATCTTTATTGTTCAGATAATTACAATTTTCCCCCTTCCCCCCCATAGCTTCTCTCCACCCAGTTCCCAACCCACCCTCTGTCCTTACCTCACCCCCCACTCTCCTCATCCATAAGTGTACAATTTTTGTCCAATCTCTTCCCGCACCTCCCACATCCTTTCCCCCATGAGAATTATCAGTCCACTCCTTTTTTATGCCCCTGATTCTATTATATTTACCAGTTTATTCCGTTCTTCAGATTTTAAATTCACTTGATTTTTAGATTCACTTATTGATAGATATGTATTTGTTGTTCATAATTTCTATCTTTATTTTTTTCTTCTTTCTCTTCTTAAAAAATACCTTTCAGCATTTTATATAATACTGGTTTGGTGGCTTTTTCTGATCTGTGAAGGTCTTTATCTGCCCTTCAGTTCTAGTTATCTAGAATGATAACTTTGCTGGGTAGAGTAATCTTGGTTGTAGGTTCTTGCTATTCATCACTTTGAATATTTTTGCCACTCCCTTCTGGCCTGCAGAGTTTCTGTTGAGAAATCAGCTGGAAATTGTATAGGTGCTCCCTTGTAGGTAACTGTTTTTCTCTTATTGCTTTTAATAATCTCTCTTTGTTTTTTGCTCTTGGCATTTTAATTATGATATGTCTTGGTGTGGTCCTCTTTGGATTCCTTTTTGTTTGGGGTTCTGTGTGCTTCCTGGACTTGTAAGTCTATTTCTTTCACCAGGTGGGGGAAGTTTTCAGTCATTATTTCTTCAAATAGGTTTTCACTACCTTGCTCTCTCTCTTCTTCTGGTACCCCCATAATTCTGATGTTGGTACCCTTGAAGTTGTCCCGAGGCTTTTTACACTATCTTCAACTTTTTGGGTTATTTTTTTCTTTTTGCTTTTCTGGTTGAGTGTTTTTTGCCTCTTTGTATTCCAAATCTTTGACTTGATTCTTTCATTCCTCTAGTCTGCTGTTGGGTCTCTGTATAATATTTTTTATTTCAGTCAGTGTATGTTTAATTTCTAGTTGGTCAATTTTCATATTCTCAGGGGTCTTGATAAATTTATCAGCCTTTTTAGGAAATTCTTGAAAAACCTTATAACTGTGGTTTTGAACTCTATATACAGTCGTTTAATTTCCTTCATTTCTTGAGTTTGTGATCTGTTTCTTTGTCTCCGCATTTTTGCTGCTTCCCTGAGTTGATAGAGTGGCTTTGTGTGCTAGGTTTCCTCTATGGCCCAGTAGGTCGGCCTCCCCACTTACCTGAGGTAGATTCTCTTGGTGCACCCCTTTGTGGACTGTGTGTACAGCTTCATTGTAGTTAAGCCTTGATTGTTGTTAGTATCACTGGGAGGAATTGACCACCAGGCTAATTAGTTGTGAGGATCAGCTGTGTCTATGCCAGGAGAACTTATGGGCTAGAAACAGCCTTATGGGACAAGACTTGCAAAACTGCAAAAGCTTCTGTGCTCAGCTTGGATGGGGTGGAGTCTCAGGGCTGAGCAGACAGTCTTGACTTCCTGTCAGCTCTGCCTTATGAGGCCTCTGGGTCTCAGTGTCCCTCAGTAATTGCTGCAAGCACCTCTGAGAGAAAGCCACCCTTGAGTTTTGCCCGCTGCCAGACAGTCTAGTTTCTCCCTCAGTGAATCTGGATTTCCAGATTCTTGCCTGGCAATGGAGTTCAGCGCAGTCAGGAGCTTCCAGTTCTCTCCAGCTCAGCCTTTTGTAGCTCCTCTGATTCTTCGTGAGCTTTTCTCTTTTCTTCTATTTGTAGAATTTCTACTCAGACAGCCTTCCTGTGGTTCTGGATGATGTCCGTTCTGTCTTTTAGTTGTAGTTTTGAAATTGTTGTGTGAGGCAGCAGCTTAGGAGCTTACCTATGCCGCCATCTTGGTTTCTTCAACTCTCATACACGTTTTTAATTATTTCTAAAGTCTCTTTTAAGATCCAGTAAGCCTATACCTCAC